AAATCAATCAATAATGCGACTAAGTAATTTCAAAATTCACCAAATGTCATCAAGTTTTTCAAAATTCACAAAATGCCACTGAGGTTTAGTACAATATCATTAAATGTTATTTCCGTTAGTTGACCCCACCACTTGCCACGTGTCACCTTCTGATTGGTCCGTTTTTAAAAAAAATTAAACAAAAATTAAAAAAAACAAAAATATTTAAATTTTTTTAAAAAAATTAAAAAAAAACCAAAAATATTTAAAAAAAAATTAAAAATAATAATAATAAAAAAAAAAAAAAAAAAAAACCTCCCTGCCCCCACCTCCGCCATCCTGCTCCCCACCCTGACTGCCTCTGCCAGCTTCACCTTCACCTTCTCCATTATCGTCCATTTCTCCCTCCATCACCTTCACCTTCTCCATTATAGTGTCGTAACCACCAGCAAAAACACCCGGTCTTATCGATTGCAACGAACATGTCTCCATTAGACCCATCAATCAAAACCGCCCATCTAGTTCCAACATAATCATTATCTCCGGTGGAGTTTGTTTTTTTTTTTGAAACCCAAAAAACGAACAACCAATAACAAGGATAATGTTTTAAAATAATATTGGTTTCTACAAATGGGACCACGAAGAAGAACCAAGCAGATTTCGAAACCGAAAACAAATATGATGAACCGTTGAATATGAACCAATTTCTTCTTTGAAGATGATGAACAGTTATTTTGAAGGGTGGGGCATCGTCGGTAAGCTTGAAGAATACTCATTTCTTCACCAAATTGCATTAAACTTGTACCAAAAATCCAAAATGGTCACAATTCAACATACAATCAATTGGAACAAACAAAATTTTGTGGATTGCTTCACCAAACAAAACCCCCCAATTCAATTCGTGGAAGGAAAGAGGAGAAGGGGAATGATTCATGAGCAACAACCCACCAAACGAATTTTTCTAATGAACGAGAGGAATCTCCGGTGATTATGGAGGAAGGGGGGCTCAGGAAGCGCTACAATGGAGAACTGAGAGAGAGAGACGAGAGCAGGAAAATGTTGAAGGTCGCCGGAATGAGAAGGTGAACAGAGTGAGGCAATGACTGCCAAATATTGCGGAGGAAGGGGGGCTGTAAATCGTGGAGGGGGAAGAAAGGAGGCTTACCAGAGGGGGAGATCGTGGAGGATCGAAAGGACGACTGTTCCTCATTTTCTCCCTCCTATTTTTTTTTTATTTATTTTTTTTGGTTTTGTTAATTCTTTATTTTTTAAAAAAACAGACCAATCCAAAGGTGACACATGGAAAGTAGAGGTGATCATTGGGCAGGCCGGGTCGGACCGGGCTGAAGCTTAAAAATTATGCCCATTTTTCGGGCCGGGCCGAGCTAGGCTTCGGACCAAAAATTTTATGCCCAAACCCGCCCAAAATGGTCGGGCCGGGCGGGCTTTTTGGGCCATTTTCGGGCCGGGAAAAAAAATCAACTAAATATGCATAAAAACGCATTCCCAAACCCGCCCTAAAAAAATAAATTTTCAGGACGGGCCGGGCCGGGCCCAACCCGATTTCGGGCTGTAAAATTCTGCCCCAAACCCGCCCAAAATTGGGTCGGGCCAACTTTGATCACCTCTAGGGGTGAGCAAACCGGGTACCCGGTCAAAATTTTAGGATCCGGACCCGGAATTGGTTGGGATCGGGTCCTAAAATTTGGAACCGGTAGAACCGGGTCCTAAAATTTAGGAATTGGAATTGGTTCCACCGAGTACCGGTTCCGATTCCGAGTACCCACTTATATATATAAGTGTTGAAATATAATACAAATCATAATATTTTTTTTTGGTGTATTTTTACTTTTAGCGTTTAATACTTATATTTTTATATACATTAAGCTATTTTAATTATATTAATATTAACAATTTTTTTTTATTTTACTAGTTAGTTACGTTCAACATATTTTTGTTTTTTTAAATATATTTTGTACAATATATGTTGGGTAGCCGGTATAGTAGAGCGGAGAGAAAAATCTAGAAGTTTTAGGGTTTTATTTGATAGTGGGTTGAGAGTTTTATAAGCAATTGGGCTTAGAAATTAAAATGGGTTGTACATAACTCTTTAGTTTCTTAAAAACACAAACAATCCACATACTATATCATATACGACGGGTACCCAGTGGGTACCAGGTCCAAAATTTTAGGATTTGGAACCGGAACCGATTACAACCGGGTCCGAAATTTTGGACCCGGTCCCGAAACCGGTAAGACCAGTTCTGGGTCCGGACCAGGCGGGTCTTAACCGGTTCCAGGTCCGGTACCGGGTACCCTGGATCTTTGCTCACCCCTAATCACCTCTAATGGCAAGTGGTAGATCAACTAACGGACACCGACGGTCAACTAACGGAAATGACATTTGGTGATATTGTATTAAAACTCACTGACATTTGGTGAATTTTGAAATTACTTCGTGGCATTTTTTAAATCCCGTATTTTTATACGTATTTTTAATTTAAATAAGTAATTCTTAAAATATTTAAATAATTCAAAATGTATTATTTAGGGTTTTCATTAATTCAAAAAGGATGATTTTTAATTAAAAGTATATTTTTAATTATTTAATAATCTTGAAAATATTTTATTTCATGATTTAAAGATATTGGGGCATATTATTTTATAAAAGATAATTTTTAAAGCAACGGTATTTATGGAAAGTCAAAGTACAAGTTTGAGTAGGAAGGGATCATTAAAGGTAGTAAAAGAATTTTAAGTAAAGAGGGATTTTGAGAGGGGGTATTAATACCCGTCATAAGCCTAGGGTAAAGTGCACCCAAAGGTAAACTATCTCTCTCCTCTTATTTTCTCTTAATTTTTTCCCTTCCCCTTTAATTTTAATTTTTAATGTTTTTTTATTACCCACACACCACCACCACACGCCACCGGTCGGCGGCCACCATCACCGACGCACACCTGCAGCGGCAGCCGCCCAACCTTGGCGGTTCGTCCGCCACACACACATATATATAAAAAAATTATTAATTATTTCTATTGTTTTTGTTTCAATTAAATCTACCCTACGTCCAATTATTGTTTTTGGGTTTTGTGATGATTTTTAGGATGTTTAATCATAAGTATTTTAAATATAAATATTTAGATTTAGTTTTTTAAATTAAAAAGCCCCAAATTGAAAACCCTAGGTTTATAAATTAATGAGTATTGATGGAATTGGATTGTGGGTAATCTAAACTATTGAAATTAATGTTTTTAAACATAATTGCAGCAATTTTTCATGGTTTAATAAAGCTGGAATATTTATATAAAAACTATAATTAGGGTTCTTAAAAGGATTTTTGATTACCTATTAATTGTGAATAAAAGTAAGGGTTTTAAATAAAATTTCAGCTTATTTTAGAGGGTTATGAGTGATTTAAAGAGAGTAAATATTGCTGGAAATTTGTGTTATAGAGGTATTCATACTCCTTTATAATTTTGGTTTGTAGGAGATTTTCAAGTGAGTGATTTTATTTAATCGTGGTGATTTTGAGATCATATTCAAGGTATATTCGCGTACTTGGTAATGTTTGAGTGTATAGAAGCATGCTAGGCTTTGTTTAATTAATTCCAAGTATTATCATGATAGGTGTTGGTTGGAATTAGTTGATTGGATCGATGTTGGTGAATTGTGATGTATGAATTATTTATGGTGAATTGGTGATTGGAATTAGTTAATTAATTATATTGGCATGTTGGATATGAACCATACTTTTATTATTAGCATGTTAGAGAGCATGTTTAATTAAACTAAATGTTTAATTTGGTTTGGAATATGAAAAGGGAATTTTATGATGGTTTATATAATTTTTATTGATGCTATAAGCATGAGGAAAGAATAAATTATGTAGCGGTGCCTATGTGCACTTAAGGTGTTTCGAACACCGAGGGATAGGATTTGCGGCGCCTTTATGCACTTAAGGTGTTATTTAACACCGAGGTAGTTTAAAAAGGATTTCACACTTAATTTATGTGATCACTAAATATTTAAGAATTAAATTGGTTTGTTTGATTGCTTGAATGAATTGTATTGTTTGGTTGTGTTATGTTTTGAGAGTCATCACCAAGTCTAATAATATGTAAATAACGTAAAGTGAAAGAGATTACGCACCAAAACTCTTGGAACGTATATACCTTGAGTATGAACATATGGGGGGGGGGAGTTATGGGGTTTTATATTTAACCATGACTTCTATTGGGAGTACATGATGCTGTATTTTCCTTTTTATTATTTATTATGCGCAGGAAGTCCAGTCACTTCATGTGACATTTGCCTACCCGGTTAGCTTCTAGTGTAGTTTACCTCAACTTATTGAGACAAGTAGTTGGTTGGAAACCCGTTCGATGCGTAATCAAATTAATTGGACATAGGTACTTGTTTAGTTAAATGTCGAGTGTTTTGTACGCTTGTTTACAGGTGTAACTCAGTAAGTTGTGTGTTGATAGGATGAAAGCATGTTAGTGTGTTTTATTACGCTTATGTACTTAGCATTGCTGATTGTGTGTTTGCATGTTTGTTTGGTCTTGTCTTCATCTTGACCCTACGGCGACCCATTTCCAATGACGAGTAGTGGGGACAAGTAGAGAGAAACTTTTCAGGTGATGAAGCATTTGCATGATGGGGATGAGTGAAGAGCGTTTCATGCTTAGTTCCTATAGGAATATGATGTGTTTAGTTACTTTGAATATTATCTATTTTATTATGGTTGTGAGAATAACGCAAAGGTTTTAACATTTCTTTGGTTTTAAGGGCTTACGATGGTTTCAAATTGTAGGTTGACTTTATTTGACTTAGTTTGATTGAGCTTGATTTTTTCAAAGTTGACGTGTTTTAAAAGATTTAAATAGGTAGTCTTCCGCTGTGTGTTTTTGATATTTACATTAGCCGTTGTCAGGTGGTGATAACGTCTTAGATTTTTCTAATTTCATGTTTAATAGAGGCAAAACAGGTATTTTATAGGATATGAATTTCCAGTGTTACATATTTGGTGAAATAGCCTACAATAAAACCAAAAACCCAGAAAAAAAATATATAATAACCCAAAACCCTTCTTCGTCTTCTTGTTCTTGCTAAATCAAAGCAGTGAAATTGTAGTGAACATGAGATGGCTGCCTCCATTTCCAAAACATTGACCAGAAACATTCGATTTATCACCACTTCTTCTTCTGCCCCTTCGTTACCTCGTTTCTTCTCCACTTCTACTGCATCTGCATCTGCTCTTTCCGCCATTGATGACCCCACCATTCCTCAACCTCAACATCAAGGTTGGTTTTTTTCTCTCTTCCTTTCCTTTTGCAATTGTTTTAATCGAATCTGTGGATTAAAATTGAATTGGGTTTTTGAATTTGATTTTTTTCATTTGATTTGTGGATTATGATGATGATTTGAATTGCTTTTTCAATTTTGTATTTTTTCTTTTGATTTGTGGGTAATGATGATAATGGTGATGATGATTGAGCAGGAAAGCAGCAGAGAGGAACATGGTCGAAGATGTTTCTCTTTCTTCCTGGGGCTATTACTTTTGGTCTTGGCAGTTGGCAGATTATCCGACGACAAGACAAGGTTCCTTTGCCCACCTTCCCTTTTATTTATCATGCTTGATTTTGATCCCGGATTTAGCTATCGATATGTTATTTAGACTCGGGTACTTTTTTCCAACTCGGGTATGTATCCAAGTGTTAGATTTGGCTACATTATGAACATTTTGAAGTTTTACTGCAAAACAAAGTATCAAGTCTCTGTACCTATGTCGAGCTGGTGATGATGACATGATTATTGATAAGTGTTTGAGTTGAAATGAAGAGTCAAGTAACATAGGCTGCCATTAAGAAATAAATTAAATTGATTTGTGCATTTGAAATTTTTTGTTTGTTGTGAAAAAGTTGGTGGTTATTATTTGTGTGCACAGTTTGCCCATTTAGGGTTGATTAAGCTTGTTTTGGCCGTTGTTGTATTGAACTTATGGTGCTTGGTCTTATAAACTCCATTCAAGGTTTCATCGGTCTGGAGTCTAACAAATCTTGAAGTTGGTGACTTGTTGTCAGTTAATCCACAGGCAAAATATTTTAGGGTGCATTAGATTATCTTACCTTTTTGAAGACTCCTTGGTTCAGGGTGTGACAGGGATTTTCTTTAATTTTCTACTTTAGTGTCTTGTATAGATACTTGTCAAAAGACCAGATATCTATTTCCATTCTCGTTCGACTTTCATATGGAATATGAACTTGTTCTCTTCACTTGAAACAAGTAGATCTGGTATGATATGGTCCGATTTTATTAAGGTCTGATATGGTCTGATCTGAATTTTTATTATCTTGATTTAATAATTTGACTAAACTTTGAACGTATATTAATACTAATTTATAAAGAAAAACATCATCAAAATGGATATTGTTAGATTTGTCTCATTATGAACTTTTCAAATATGTAATTTTCATAATTTTTTTAATACGCAATTAAATGGTATTTAACAATAAGTAAATGATAATTTAAAAGTCTGACAAGATTGTCTGGCCTTATCCTTAGTTTTAAAAAGCGCGCCTTAGGTGCAAGGCACAGTGAGGCTCAAGGCGCCTTCGCCTTTGCGCTTTTTTTTTTGTAGGCTGCTTCTTGCGTCTTTGCGACTTATGTTGTAAAGCATCAATAGCTATTTTGTAAGTTAATTATTTTCTATAAAACACTATGGGACTTTGTGACGGGCAGAATAATTCATTTCTAGAGAAGAGAGAAATCCCATACCCCCAATTCAATTTGAAGAACCCTAGCTATTGATCACATGGCCCTTTCACCTTTTCACATAAGTCCAATTTTACACTCATTTAATAGAAATGATTTTTTCTTTTTTATATGAATAAAGTGCGCCTCACCTACAAAATGCGCACGCCTTTGCCTTGCGCCTAGGCTCCAAGGACTTTTGCGACTTTTTGCACCTTGTGCCCTTTAAAACTAAGGTCTAATCTGAATTAATGAGGAAAAGTAACAAGTATCTTAAACAAGTTGAAGAGAATAAGTCCTATGTCTCCAAGAAATTTAATGCTTGTATCTGGAAAGGGCAAAGAGGAAAAGGACTAAATATATTGATTTAGGTCAATGAAATGCAATTTTAGGTACCAAATATATTGATTTCCCCTTATGTAGCTAATAGTAGTGGTGCTCGTTCTTGCGTCAGAAGCTGGCTACATTTTCCTTTGGACTAAACTGTATGAGACCCTGACATACACTATTGTCTGCATCAGATTTGGTATTAATTCAGGCTGATTAGACTTTACTCAGTTTAGGAGTTATTTTGTTATTTACATGTTTACCTATCTTTATTTCATGGTTGAAACGAATGGCAGGCTTTTTTTTATTTTTTGGATTTGTTGGGGCTTCATCGTAATGCTATTAGGGACAGAGTTATTTTCCTTGTTTCATAACATACCATGCTGCAGAGTTTTATTTCAGTGTACATTCATGTCTTTTATCCATGAAGTAACACTTTGTTTGGGTAGAAGGAAATGGAAAGAAAAGAAGGGAAGGGAAAGGGAGGGGAAAAACTCTCTTGTTTGGGAGAAGGATTGGGGGAAGGAAGGGAAAGGAGAGGGAGGGATCCATTTTCCCTTTCTCTTTAATAAGCATAATCCCTCCAAATTTGGAGAGATTTGGAGGGAAAATGGAGCTCACCTCCCCGTCCCTTTCTTTTCCCTTCCCTTCATCCTCTTTCCCTCCCCTTCCTTTCCTTCCTTATTTGCTACCCAAACAAAGCATAAGTCTTCTTCTTCTTAAAAAAAATTAAAAAATAAATAATGCAAGTTCGTATTAATGGGTAGGTAACAAGCTTTCTTATTCATACTTGAATTGCATACGTGAAGGGAAATTTACTAATTTTTCAAGATTTCAGTTTTTGATTGAATCATCTTAGATATCCATTGAAAATACTAAGTGGTCTTGATGCCAATTGAGCTTCAATTGAAAAGTTTTGTTCATTGGTTTAATTGAATTATTTGACCTATCTATAAGTTTTTGTAAGTTTCGGCAAAAGAGGAATGCTCATTGAGTTTTTGACATTGATCTGTTATTGATATTCAATTTAGGCTCACTTTGGTCTTTGTGCTTCTTTGTGGGCAATTGTCAATCAGTAGAATTGGTGAAAGTACCAAAAGTTTATGATTTTCATCCTTACTATTGATCTAAATTAGGCCCATTGATGCGATTGGTTTTTCAATTGAAGCTCTTGAAACTAAATTAGCTGAGTAGAATTTCTTTTTAATATTTATTTTTTTGAAACTCACTGGATGTGTATTTGGGTTCTCTTTTTAAAATCTCGAATTAGTATTAATGCTAGGCAGAAGAGCCTGATATGAATATATTAAAGTCTGTTGTCAGATGATTGTGTGTGAAGCAGTCATGCACAAGTCTACATTCTTATGCTCTCATAATGGTGTCATCTAATTGCATGCGCTGTTGAGCAGCTTTTGATTTAATACTCTTGGTTTTGCGCAACTTTAACCAACTTGTTATTTTTCCTCTGGTGGATGTTTTGCATGTGTATTAAGTTATTTGAATTTAAGTAGTATATTACTATGTACCATCTATATTTATATTCTTAAACTATTTTGTTTGACTATAGATGTATGCTGATGTAGATCAAAACATTGGATTACAGAAGAGAAAGGTTGGCAATGGAGCCAATTGAGTTTAATGACATAGCTTCTGGTGAGAACTCTAATACTTTGGAATTTCGGAGGGTGGTCTGCAGAGGAGCTTTTGATGAGAAGAAGTCAATATATGTGGGCCCACGATCCAGAAGTATATCAGGAGTTACAGAAAATGGATACTATATTATTACACCTCTTGTACCTATTTCTGGCAATCTGGATAGGTGAGCTGATGATTCATTGACATATTTGTGAATGTGTATCTGTTCCATTATCTAGTTTTGATGTTTTGTTCCCTGTTGGTTGATGTCTTGTTTATCACCCTTCACCTTATTCTATCTCATATTTGATCATTTTATTCTGCATGTATTATTTAATGTGTCATAGATGGCTCATAAATTCCTTGATGTTTAGTTGCATAGTATTACTGCCTTATCTACTTCATATACTTCTGTTTGATGCCGATCATCTAAAGAAATACTCATTGAAATACAGAATTTTTGTCATCCTTATGCTGAGTTAACCTGAGTCAACTATGACGTAACTTTGCAAAAATCTAATGTCTGGGATCCTGTCAATATCTTAATGTTTTGGTCCTGAAGTTGGTTGTCTCTAAACTTTGTAATTAATTCAGCACAAGTGCAGTTTAAATTAACCCAATAAATTTTTATTTTTTTATTTTTTATTTTTCAAAAATAAAAAGTTACGGCTTATAGTTTTTTTTTTCTTCCTCCCTCCTTTTGAAATACGGTTTTGCCTCTAAACCTTTTATGTGTAGGAGGAGAAAGAGTAGAGGAACATGGGGTTTACATGGTCAGAGAAAAGAGATCCTAGATTAGTAAATGTGGTCAGTTTGGGAATAAAATCACATCTAAGTCATTTGACAAATACTTTTAAGCAAACTAGCTATTGAAGTAAAAACTCTGACCAATAATTTATTTTGCTTGATTAAGCCACATGTTTTGGTTGTACTATGTTTTCGTCTGGCTGATAATGCAAATTTCAGCGTTCAGTCCCCAGTTTTAGTGAATAGAGGATGGGTCCCACGTAGTTGGAGGGACAAGGCACTGGAATCTTCTCAAGGTCTTGAAGAAGATGAAGATGTACCCAGCACTGCTTCATCATCTGGTGAAATTCGTTCATTCTGGAGATTTTGGTCTAAGAAGCCCCAAACAACTGAGGTTTTACTTTGCACTGTTTCTGTTACATTTAGTAAATGTGTTAAGAGGGTTGGTCACATTTTTCCCATTCTTTAATTGCAGGAACTAGCTCCATCTGTCACTCCTGTGGAAGTAATTGGCGTGATTCGTGGGAGTGAAAAACCAAGCATTTTTGTCCCAGAAAATGATCCTGCCTCTGGTCAGTGGTTTTTTGTTGATGTTCCTGCTATTGCCCATGCATCTGGCCTTCCTCAGAATACAGTCTACATTGAGGACATTAATGATAATGTTAGCGCAAGCAATCCATATCCTGTTCCAAAGGATGCTAGTACTTTGATTCGCAGCTCAGTCATGCCGCAAGACCATCTAAATTACACATTAACATGGTACGTGTTTTGCCTGTTGAACACTCTATGTTATGCGTGCACTTGTAGCTTTACTCAAAATTATTTGTATCCCTTTAAGGTCATTTATAATTTGCTATTTATCTATGCTTTGTACGAAGTATAATATTTTTTGTGGACATCATAACCAACATTACATGGAACGTGGGACGTTAAGTAACATGGTACAAGAATGCGGTATAATATTTTTTGTGGACATCATAACCAACAATACATGGAACGTGGGACGTTTAGGAACATGGTACAAGAACGCGGTACGTGGGGTCTAGAATTCCCGGAACGTTTGGTTATTTTTGGGATTTATTTTGGTTGACTTTAAATTTTATAATTAGTAAATTTCACCATGATAATGTTTTTTTTTTAATTGATAATGTGATTTTATTGAAACAGCAAAAAAAATGGAAATTAAAAGTTCAAAGTTAAATTAAAAACAAAATTAAATTTGGCAGCAATCTAATATTTCAAGACTCCAAGTTTTAACCACTTACTCCAAATTATATATAAAAAACTACATCAATTAAAAAAAAGCTTACAAATAACAAAATATAAACCATGATTAGCAGCAAGTCAGTCAAATTCTTTTTCTTTAAGCAGCTGCATTTTCCCCAACAAGCATATGTCATCCATTCTCAATGTTGAATCCTCAATATAAGAGCTCTCAGGGTCGATATCCCACATCCTATAAGGGTCGAATGTGTAGCTTTTTGAGAAGCATAATATAAGTCTTAAGTTAGATTAAATTGTAGGCAATGATAGCATTGATTCGATTCCTCTTAATATTGTGGATGTAAGAACAAGTGCTCTAAACTCTTTTGGCACCTTAAGAATAATAACTTGTAATTGGTTGTGATAACACCGTAACTGCTATTTCTGCCATCTCTGAAGTTTCAGAGCCTTAAGTAGACCACCATGAAATTGGTGACATTGTTGCAGCATCTATCTTAGATGCATGTGTCCCAAAATCCCTTCTTTTTTGCCGAAATTAAGCCATTTGTTCACTAAATAGTTTTTTTCATGCATATCCTCTCCAATTTTATCAAATTCTTTAAGAAAACCCGAAACCACTTCTCTATCAAGATTTGGAGCTCTTCTCTCAACTCTACCAGGGGCAACATAATTCAAATAATTTGAGTCATAATAGAAAGGATTGAGGGCAAAACCTAGACAATGCATATGAATGTTCATTTTTTCCCAACGAGCAATCAAAATTTCTTGCATTTTATCTCTATCTTCCACATATTTATTATTTTCCAAGATATCACCAATTTTCCCTATCGTATAATCCATTTTGTCATAGACTTCTCCCAATTTTTTTGTCCCTCACCATCAGCAAATTTTATCATCAAATAAATTGGCTTAGTAAAAGATAGAATGTTATTGCCTCATCCCAAAATTCCTCATTTGATATTGTCAATGCAACTTCAGTAGTGTAGAGGCAAACCTTGTTTTAGCAACTTTCAAGGCGCTAAAATGCAAGAAATTTTGATTGCTCGTTGGGAAAAAATGGACATTCCTATGCGTTGTCTAGGTTTTTCCCTCAATCCTTTTTATTATGATTCAAATTATTTGAATTTTGTTGCTCCTGGTGAAGTTGAGAGAAGAGCTCCAAATCTTGATAGAGAAGTGGTTTTGGGTGTTCTTGAAGCATTTGATAAAATTGGAGAGGATGTGCATGAAAAAAACTATTGTGTGAACAAATGGCTAAATTTCAGCAAAAAGAAGGGATTTTTGGGACACATGCATCTAAAATAGATGTTGTGACAGTGTAACCAATTTCATGGTGGTCTACTTATGATTCCGAAACTCCGAAGTTGGCAGCAGTTAAGGTGTTATCACATCCAATTACAAGTTCTACTGAAAGAGTTAAGGTGTTATCACATCCAATTACAATTACCTATTCTTACACCCTCAATATTAAGAGGAATCGATTCAATGCTCTTCCTGCCAACAATTTAGTGTTTATTCACTATAACTTTTAGACTTATATCACGCTTCACAAAAAGCTACACATCCGGCCTTTATAGGATGTGGGATTTCAACCTCGAGAGCTCTGGTATTGAGGATTCTACATAGAGAATGGATGACATAAGGTGGGTGTTTGTTGGGGATAATGCAGCTGCTAAGAGAAAAAGAATTTGACTGACTTGCTAGTTATGGTTTATCTTTTGTTATTTGTAAGCTTTTTTTAAGGAAAAAAAATAATTTATTTTATTTTTTTATGTAATTTGGAGTTAGTGGTTAAAATTTGGAGTCTTTTAATATTGGATTGCTGCCTAGTTTTGTTTTTAATTTAACTTTGAATTGTTAATTTCCAATTTTTTGTTGCTTTTTATGAAATCAGATTATTATTAACATTATCATAGTGGAATTGACTAATTATATAATTTAAAATCAACCAAAAAAAATCCCAAAAAATAATCAAACATTCCAGGAACTCTGAACCCCACGTACCGTGTGTTTCCGTTCCCATACCAGTATACCACGTTCCAAAACGTCCCACTTTCTGTGTAACGTTGCCCTAGATGATGTGGTGTGGGACTGTGGGGTTGGAGGAGAAGGATAATTTTGGGTCAGTATTATTCAGTTATTTATTATTTATTTTTTTAATGATCAGAATTTCTACTATTTGACTTGTTCTATGTCAATGCCCAAAAGTGAGCTAAATAAAAAAAACAAGTAAGAAGGTAGCAAAAGCAACAAGTTAGTTATAATTCTGAACAGCTTTACAATCTGGACATCTGGTAAGCTAGTTTTCAACAGGAGTATGCACAATGTTATTGTTATGGATCTTGTACAAAGATCTTAAGTACATCAATTTTCTTGATTTGTGAAGCATGCTGAAGGTACTTGGTGACAGTTGCTTACCAGATTAAGTGTCTTTCATATTGGTTTAATTGGGATTTGTCAATTCCTTCAAAGTTGAGAGAAAACTGGATAGTGTGATTGTGTCATTGTGTGAAACTTAGCGTTATTTGTGGGATACGGGTTTATCACACTTTTTTCAGTCAAAGTGGAAGTTGAACTGGTTTATTAAGACAACTCTCCTTGTTTAAAAGATCACTCAAACAGTTATACTTATTTCATTTTGCCTCCTAAAATGTGTAAAGCAGGAATTAAGTTCCAGCTTTTTAAAATTATTGGCGATCCCTTTGCAACCAAGTCATATTTTGTCTAGGGCTCTCATTATAACTGTATATGAAAGTGTCTTAAAGCAAAAGATGTCTACTTCATCCTGTATATTGCTCTCATTATAACTGTATAGTGCTCTCATTATGCTTTTATTCATGAAAGTTTACACATTTGCTTTGGCATCCCATTACTATCTTTGGAAAGAAATTATAAGCACTCAAGTTTGATATCAAATAAAAAATAAACAATTTTATCGACTAGGAAGGTGCCAATTTGATAAGCAGGCAGCATGTTTAGTCCAATTGCTGCTGATGGTGTTAATTGCTAACTTTTGTTTTTTTTTTTAGGGGGGGGGGGGGTGGAATACTGACCCTTTGTTTTGATTGAAGGAGAAGGGAATTGGATGGGAGAGAAATAGAAGGTTAAAAGAAATTGATCTCTCTAACAAGTAACAATGGAGAGATTTGGAAGGAAAACTCATCATTCTTTCTTCCCCTTCCCTTCCTTCCCCTCCCCCTTCTTTTCCTTCTCTTTTCTTTATCCAAACACACTGTTAATGCAGTATGTTGTCTCTGGCTTGTGTTCATGATTAGGAAACTATACATCCTTGATATAGGTCAGAAATGATGCTGTGAGATGTAGATTGACAAAGAAAGTTATCTAACCTCTTGCTAACTGGCTTGATGTCATTAAACTCAATTTTACTACCCCGAAATGTGCTTATGCTCTATATTTTAGTCCAATTCTAACATTTATATTCATGACAAGCAGGTATTCTCTATCAGCTGCTGTGACATACATGGCTTACAAGAGATTAAAGCCCAGAAAAATCCGGAGATAGTATTTAATTTATAGAAGTCCTGGGAATTCCCTGTTTATTTTTAGACCGTGCTAGAGAATACTGAAGATCAGGTGCTGTCTACCGATTAATGACATCTTTTGTCATCATGTCAGAGGACTTATTTTGCTGTTATAAGATAGTCTGGTACGTCTGGTATATACAAGCAGCAGATGATGATATTGATTTTGCAAACAAAACTTTGAGAATTTGAAACATTGATAGAAATTTTGGAATATAACTGTTGGAACAGATCAGTTCTTTTTCATATCACAGATTAACAGAACACTGATGTACAAGCTGCTATACAAGTCCAGGGCATCAGGCCTTCCAGGGGTAGAGGCGCAGAGCCTTAAAGGGTAATTACTTTAATCTTTTCAGATGCCACAGGTGTTCAAGACCAATATTAGAGGGTGATGATACAATAATTTTTTGCATTCTAGACTGAATATCAACACATCATTGCCAGACATCCAATAAAGAAAACTCTTTGCTTCGTCACAATAGAGCTTGTATTCTGACTTAGTACTTTGTAATCTTTGTATTTGCTATATCAATTTTTGATTATTTTTGACATATCATATGAAATAAGAAGACATCTTACGTTATTATGCTTCACTACATTAAATGAACCCGCAAACATTTAATATGGAGTACAAGAGCTTAAAGTGTATGCAAATTTTGTAGAAGTCAATAATTCACAAACAATATGTTGGAGGTGTAGGGTTTGAATTCTACCAAGTGAAAATGTTTAGTGTTAGGGATTCCCTTACCCTTCCCTCTACTCAAGTGTTTGGTCCGCAAAACATGACCTAATAAATTACTACCTCCTTTAACAGTTATTTGTAACATTTACCAAAAAGGGGTGTTAGCTATTACTTGCAACAAACTTTCTTTTTTCCTTTTTTTAGTAACTTTTGTGGTGACAAAAATACCAAACTGCCTTTACTAAAAACTGATTAATTGCTAACCTACTTTATAATCCTAATTGATTATCTCTCCAATCTACAAAACTAATCTAATCATTTCAACCAAAAATTAAGATTTGCATCCCACTTCTCTTCATTTCTTCAGATCGTCATTCATCTTCTCAACAACCGTCAACCACTCCCATTAATGAGGCCAGTGAAGGCTTTAAATCTGAATAGAAAGATGCCCAAGTCTAATATCACAGCAAAGCCTGCTTCTCCCAGCTTTACGACATCTTCGCTTAAAGGAATGCGAAAATATGGAAAAGCTTCCTGGTGAATTGCACAATATTACCTCCCTCCAGGAGTTAATGATTAAAAAATGCCCTAAAATCCATAGCTTAGCAGAAGGTGGTTTACCTAGGAATCTGACATTACTTGTAATTGAAGAAGTGAACCTAATACAAGAGTGGGGATTGCCAATAATAGAGTGTATTCCGTGCCCACACCTTTCTCTCCCTTCTTCCTTTGCAAACTAGTTGCTCGAAAATCCATTCTAATGGCATAATTGATTTTAACTCCAATACAGACAATCGAAGATCAATCTCAGCAACAAATAGGTATCAATTGAGCAATTTTTTATTTTTTGGCAACTTTTTTGCAATTTCATGATATTAAATCTTCAAATTACAAAAATTGAAAACAAAAATCGTTCAACAAGCTCGGTAATTATGGCGGAATTGATTTTAGTTCATATGATCCAATTCAGACAATCGTTCAACAATCTAATCCACCAGGTATTATTTTCTCCATTTATTAGCTATTAAGGTTTTTTTTTTTTTTTTTTTTTTTTTTAAAACGAAATTATCGAATTTCTTTGCATGAACTTCAATAACAAATTTGCAGAGCATAATTGATGATGAATTTCTCAAATACATAAATTGCTAATAAATTTAATATGAGCAAATTTAATTTATAAATATAATGTTATTGTGCATAAATTGCTATTGATTATAATATGAGCAACCTTAAATGAGAAAATTTAATTGAACAATTGATTTTCATTTACAAATTATTAAAAACATACCGTACTTAACATTTTACTATCAATTTTACTCATTCAACATCTTGATGATTGTTTTTTCACATATGATAAATGATTAAATTTGATTAAAAAATGTGGTGAGGTTTTTTATAATCAAATTTACTCATTTAGAATCTTCCACTTAAGGTGTGGTTAATTTACGGAGAGTGTGTAATTGAGCTATCCCTATTTGTGTTGGGTTTAACAAAAGAGCGACAAGCGTTGAGGCAAAGTGCCCAAGATGTTGTTGTGACGAGGGGACTGAACTTCATTTCTCTAATCAAGTGCTCGACTACTTGGAAGGTGTGCGAGGAGGCAAGGTTAGACGTGTGGAGGGGAAAGCCCTATGTGTTCTAGTTTTGCAGATTGGTAAGGTTCTTTTTATGCATAAAAGAATGACATGAGGTGGCCTGTTTGGCTTACAAGAAATAAAGTAAGGTTGTATGGCCTGGTGCTTGTGAAGGATGGAAGTAGTGCACTTGGTCCAAAATTTAGCAACTTATTATGAACATCCAATTGAGTACAATTATAAATGTTTTAAACTAGTAGCCTATGTAGGATTTGAACCTACATCTTTTGTGCAATGTAGGAACACAGTGATCGACCAATTGAGCTAATAGGCTAACAATTTAAACTAGTAAATGCTTGACTATAAACTTCATTCAAAGCAGGTGCAATAACAGTCCGATAGATAATCCATTCTAATGATGCCAGATGCTGACGATGATACAGTAATAACTAATAAGCCATTCACATCTGTTTCCTTTGGCATCTAGTACATACAAATTACTTTTTCTCTGCTTCAAAGCAAGAACTTGAAAACCTCCATATATATAAATGGGAGAGGAGAAAAGCAGCACAATATCAATATGGAAGCAATGAAGTCCTTTGTGAAAGGTGCCTCTGGTATGCTTTCTACTTGTGTCATTCAGCCCATTGATATGGTCAAGGTACCCTTTTTTATATTTTATACTTTTGTTACAGTTGTATATGTTATTGATTATTGCATGATTAATATTAATTACCCAAGCAAGCTGATTAGATCAATAATGAAATAAAATTGGTGAGAATTCAATTAGGACAAGGTTCTGCAGTCCAGGTGACTAAGAATATGCTACGTGATGAGGATCTTTATGCCTTTTACAAGGTTACTTCTTCAACTCATATTCATTACCATCTACTTCTACTTGTATTGTTAACTCATATTCATTACCATTTACTTCTACTTATATTGTTTATACGGAGTACTATACTAGTGTCGCACTCACTCACCCTAACAACCTAAGTATTGCATATGCCAATATTTCACTTTAAAGAAAAAGCCTACATTTGGTTGCGATATCAGACTAATACAGCTAAAAGAGTTGATGATCGATCTATTTAAAAGGATTCCTCTTTGAGCTTTAATTGGCTCATGGAAAGCAGCCTTCCTCCTCATAGGTAACATTCTAACTGAGCTAGCTTGATAATCAGAACTCCAAAGCACATTCAAGGATTTCAATGTGACAGGGAACTAAAGACTCTCTTTACAACCCCATCAAGATATCCTTGAGATCTAAATTTCACTCCACAACACAATGTGAGCTACAAAATTACAAAAACAGAAAAAAGGCAGCAAACTTTTGTAGCATCAAAATTAAACACGCACACCACTTACAGCTTTATTCCACTTTAATACAATGTCTCCACACTACCCATTGATCACTAACTTGATCTTAAGGCATTCTCCATTCCTCTCCAAATTAGAGAGTTTTTAATCCTAACAATAAATTCCAACAAATTTACTATACCCAACATCAGAACATCACAATTTCCAAAATTTCTACGGAGTATAAGCACATCAAAACCCCCAGTTTTGAACAATTTCATCACACTTCATCATGCCATACCAATTTGTATTACTTATATCCTCTAGTCCTCTACTATGAAACTCAGTTTTAACTAACATCACCTTATATAACCTAGTATTAATTGCAATAAAATGCTCAAATGAGCAAACCTAATATATACAGAAAAAAAAAAACAAATTAACACATAAAAGTGCTTAAATAAAAATCAAATGAGCAACAAAAATATAAAGGAGCAAACAAACATTAAATGAACAAACAAGCATAAAAAGCACAAAATGAGCAAAAAAATCATAAAATTAACAAACATAGGAAAAATGAACAAACATAAAATATAAATTACACAAAAAGTTGAGCAAAATGAGAAATTAATGACACATAAAAGGAAAACTATTACACGCAAAAAAAAAAAAAAAAAAAATATTGAGTAAAATGAGCAATTGATGACACATTAATGAAATTTAAGCATAAATTAAACACATTTAAGGACAAATTGATGAAAGTTAAACATAAATTGAGCAAAAAACATAAAATGAACAAATATGAAACAAAAATCCAAAAAAAAATTGAGCAAAATGAGCACAAAAATTTTATACGAAGTACAATTAATGACACTAAAATACATGAAATTCAATACGAGGTAAAGCTGAACATAAATACATGAAATTCATAATTATGTAACCAAAAATACAAAAAAAAAATTGAAAAAAAAAAGAGAGGCGAAATTTACCTAGCTTAGATTCTACCATTGTTGCAACTAAATACATTTCGAAGCAAAAAACGGAAAACGTAGATAAATAACTCTCCAAATTAAAGACAAAAAACGTAATCCGAAGCATAAACTTTGGAAATGTAGATGAAAAATTCTGGAAATTGAAGACATGAAGAAAGAGAAAGAAAAAAGAAGAAAAAGAAAGAAAGAAGAAAAAGGAAGAGAGAGAAAGAAGAATGGAAAAATTATGTAACAATGAAACCTTTAGATATCACGTGCATGTAGGGAAAATTAATTGTAAATGATAGTTATAACCCAGGGTGTGCGGTACAACCAGGTATATAACACTAACTTCATTTAGAATGGAAGCTAAAGGGATCAAGTACTCATATAATTAACAATCAATATCTATATCTATTAAATATTACAAATAAGATGGAAGAGAAAGTCAAGTTTCACATTTTTAGTTTCATACCTAGTCTTATTTTTAGCAAAAAAAGGAAAGGAAAAAAATAATATAAATAAATAAATGATGACATCATATGTAAATTTGGAGGGAAAATTTTTAATGAAAGTTTGACACGTAGAACACTTTAGAGGATTTATGACATCAACAAGTTTTGTTTTACTAATTGTTCTTGAAAAAAATATTTTGTTCCGCAGTTGAAACCTCCCGAAAACCCTCTTTCCATTTCCATCAAACAATTGTTAACCAAATAAGAAAAAGTCCCTTGAATAGGGTCACGCTCTCGTCCCTCGCCTAGAGTTTGGTTTTTCCGTCACTGTTTCTCTACCCGTTCTCGGCCGATTCTCCCTGTTTTTTTCCTGGTTCTTTATTCCTTTGCAAGTAATGGAGCCTCAATTGTTGAATGAGTTGGAGAATCTGCGTTTATCTGAGGAGGAGAACAAGGTAATTGGAAATCGTGATGATTGCGATGTTGATGATGATACGAAGGCTCGAATTTCCCTAACCTTGGTAGGGAAATTGTTGACGGTGAGACCGTACAACGTTGAGGCTATGAAACGCACTCTGCTGAATGTTTGGAGAGTTCGAGACAATGTGGCGATTTGAATGGTGGAAACGAATTTGTTTGTTTTCCAATTCTTTAGCGAGGATGATAAGAACAGAGTTCTTGAAGGCTGCCCGTGGTTTTTTGATAAATAAACTCCTTCTACTGACTGAAATTTCTGGTGATGAGCAATGTTCAGAGGTGCAATTTAGGAGTTCCCCTTTCTGGATTCGATTACGTGATGTCCCTTTTAATAAGCGAACAACTGAGTTTGCCTTTGACATTAGTGAACATCTAGGAGCATTCATAGATTATGATGACTCGGATCCTCTTGGATGGAACGAATACCTCCGCGTGAAAATGCAAGTGGACATTAACAATCCCCTTCGTAAGGGGGGTGAAGGTTGTAACCGGAAAACAGGGGTCTAAGTGATGTGGCATTTAATACGAGCGTTTGGCAGATTTCTGTTATTACTGTGGCCGAATTGAACATACTAACATTGAATGCCAGTATGTACAGGAGGAGGTTGTTAGGAAAGGGGTGGTATATGAATACGGACCTTGGCTTGGAGCTTCGCCCAAGAAACCAACCAGACTGTCGAGTGATGAGCGTGAAAAGGAGAAGGAGTGGCTTGCTAAATTGAAGGGACAGACTACGGTGAAACTCCTTGGTTATCATGACCCAATTGTATCCGCAAGGGCCTTCCAATGGCTTCCCGAAAACTGGTTTTTTCGCCTTTGAGGGAGGTGGGAACAGTGGTACTTCATAAGGATGACAACGTTCAACAGAACACCCACCTAGGCAACTCAAATGAGAGAACCTCGAAGGCTGCTGCCAGTGAAGATAGGGCTGCGATTTCTGGAATTCTTCCTCCCATCCAGTCCAAAGACAATGCAAACCCCTTGAATGATGCCTCTTCCCCTAGTGATCCAATGACACTTGCGGCTGACCCCCATATAACTACAATGTTGGTGCCAGGAAAGAATGCTCATGGGAAGACAAAAGGAGGGGATTCTCACGATAAGACATGGAAACGAATTGACAGGGATATGGATACCAATATGGAAGAGCAACCTCTCCCCCCCCCCCTTTGGGAAAAGAAAGCATCATGATTTTTCTGTTGTAGTGGAAACGAGTGAGACATCTTTTGGGAAGCGATTCAAAGCAATCTCTGAGGTGCCTTCTCTTTCTTCTAGTCCGGCGGAGGTTAACATGGATCAACCCCACCAAGACCAATGAGTACCCTATGTTGGAACTGCAGGGGGCTTGCTAGCCTTCGTGCAGTTCGGGAACTACGGATGTGGTGCTCTTCTCTAGTTCCTGATATTTTATTTTTGTCTGAAACGAAAGTTAATAAAAGCATTGTTGAGAATAATAAAATTAGTTTCAATTTTCCGTATTCTTTTGGTGTTAGTAGTATTGGTAGGTCAGGAGGTTTATGTATTTATTGGAGGGACTGCATTGACTTTACTCTGGTTTCTTTCTCCCAAAATCATATATGTGGTGATGTTAAGCATGAGTCGGGTGTGTCTTGGCGTTTTGTGGGGTTATATGGTTGGCCAGAGGCTAGTAATAAACACAAAACTTGGTCCCTAATTAGACAGTTATGTGATGATGTTGAGGGGCCTATTTTGTTCGGGGGTGATTTTAATGAGATTTTGTCGTATGGTGAAAAGGAGAGTGGAGTTGACAATGAAAGAAGAACTTTACCTGATTTTCGGGAAACTCTTCATGATTGTGAGCTTAGGGACTTGGGGTATGAAGGGCAATGGTTTACTTGGGAGAAAGGTCGGACTAAACAAACTTTGATTAGGGAGAGGTTGGATCGATTTGTGGCGAATGGCCCTTGGTTCGAGCTCTCTCTTAACCAGGTGGTAGATAACATGGCTCGCAAAAAATCCGACCATTCACCAATTTTCCTGAAACTTGGTGAGCATAGGAGGAAAAAGAGGTTTTGGTTTGAAACTCATTGGCTGCTTGACAGTGAATGTGAGGAGGTTGTGCGTGGGGCTTGGAGGGACATTACTGGTGGGGTGGGCGACCGTTTGAAAAGGGTGGCGGGAGAGCTGAAAAGCTGGAGCAGTCGCAAGTTCAAGGGTGTGGAAGTGCAAATAGAGAAGCTCGAGAAGGACTTGAAAGAGGCGCAAGGGGAGGTGGTGTCAGATGAGTCGCTTGCTAAATGTGCTGACATTGAAAAACAGCTTGAGGATCTCTTTGATAAGAAGGAAGCCTACTGGTACTTGAGGTCTAGGGTCTCAGAAATCAAAGACGGGGATCGCAATACCAAATATTTCCACCATAAAGCCTTTAAGCGCGGGAGCAAAAATGAAATAAAAGGTCTCTATAATGCCGAGGGTAACTGGAAAGAAGAGCTTGAAGATATTAAGAAAATTGTCGAGCAATTCTATAGGACCTTATTTTCTGCTGGCACACCCTCCGAGGAAGCGTGCACTAAGTGTAATACCCCGTATTTTTGAAAGGTATTTTAGTCTCGTATTTTGACGTATTTTTCTAAATTAATTATTTTCTAAAGAGTATTTTAGTTTTGGAGCCAAAATGATATTTAAATTTTGGCGCCTAAATCATTATTTTACAAAACTAATTAAAATGGATAATCCAATAAATGAAACTATTTTATACCTATGTTATAAATAGTATTTTTGATTTCTCAAAAACTAAATAGATAAACCGAAATTATATTAATTCGGTTAAAATAAATTAATTAAATTAATTTCCTTAAACTAATTAAATTGTATTTTCGGATTTCATATAAAAAAAAATCTTAATTGTTTTAATACCTTTCCAAATTAATTATTTTTAGGAAATATACCTATAAATTAATTAATAAAATTAATTTCCTAAACTAATGTTATTTTCGGATTTTTCATAATGAAAATCTAATTTTATTTATTTTCATAAAATAAACTAAATAAATGTTATTTTCGGATTTTTACAAAATAAAAATCTGATTTTATTTAACATCCTTCTAAGTAAATTATTTTCATGAAATAAATTAATTTTCTAAACTAATTAAATGTTATTTTCGGATTTTTCATAATAAAAATCTGATTATTATTTAATATCTTGCTAAACTAATTATTTTTATGAAATAAAATGATTTCCTAAACTAATCAAATGGTATTTTGATTTTACATAATAAAAATCTGATTTAATTAATTATTATAGGCCACATTTTCGGCCACCCCAATAATTTAGTAAGAAAATTGATTTTTATTCTTCCAAATATTCTAAACTTTATTGAATCATTAATTTTAGACAAATAACTTATTTTACAAAATCCCTAAACTAACATAAGAGGACCGAAAATATTGAACAATATTTAGCTCAATATTTTCGGCCACTCATGAATTTTCTAAAGGATTTTTAGTTTATTTTATTAAAAATAAAATCCTTTAAATTTCCTTATTTCTATTCTTAAATCTAAAAATTATTTGATCCTATTCTATAATTGCACTCCAAGCTCAAAACCTACCAAATTAAATTTCATGATCAAATAAAACAAATATCCTTCCATACATTTAAAACCCTAGTTTCTATTCTTCAAAACTTCCATAAATCATAAACCCTAAATTGTCATAAACCCATCACCTAAACACCTATAAATACCCCCCTCATACCTCTCATATTCTTCACACTAAAAACTCGATTCTCTTCTTTTCTTTTACTCTTCTTTTCCCTCAAACTTTTCCTATTTTTCTTTTCCTCTTTTCTAAAAGAAAATTTGCCCGTATATCTTTGGAACCAATTTTCGAGCACTTGTGGTCAGTTTTTGGATTTTTCTATTTCACAGAAAATTATTCCTCTTGAAAAATCCTTGAGGTTAGGCTCAAGAATAACCCAATTCGGAGTTATATAAAAGGAGTTATGACCTCTGCAAGTTCTGCCTATCCTTTCCAACGCAAATTCAATTTCCTTTAATCTTATTCCTTTATTTTCTTCATGGTTAGTTTTCTAAAATATAATTACCTATTTCACAGTTATAATTTTATATTAAAGTATTTTTTTTTAAAGAGTTTTATAGTCCATGCACATTAGATTTGGGTTTATGTCTAAAGATGTTGTGATAACCGTATGGTTATGTTAATTGCAAGGTGTATTCGTGATTGAACTTTGAAAGTGCGAAGTGTTGATTGATATTCGGAATTAAGGTACGTTATGTGGTTTGATACCTTCGAAAGTTGACTATGAAATTATGTTTTAATATAGTTCTTATGAAATTATGTGCCGTATGAAATTATGTTTTACTATATGAAATTGTGTTTTATGATAGCTTGAAATTAATGATTTTGGTTAATCAAAGAGGCTTTGAATTGCGATTAAAATTATTAAAAGGATTGGATTAAAAAATGATTTACAAGTTTATTGATGTCCAAGTATAACGGATTTTTTTTAAAGGTGCTTTTAAGCAATCAATCGATATGGTTATGAATCCCACTTAGGGAATGGATTAGAGAAGGCTATGGACTTTGCATGACCTAGCCTTTCCTCAAGATTGACCTTTGTTCATAAAGTAAACAACTTGGGGGGTGTGCACACTTAGTGAGGAATTGGTTTTGGAACGTAATCGATTGAGTTTTTTAAATTTGTCTTGAAAGAATTGAATTGGAAAAACTCTTACTTGAGTACGGCATTGGAATTCTTATGAATTAAATATAAATGATTTAAATTATGTTTTACTTATCTTACACATAATCTACTTAGCATAATTTGCTAATACGTGCTTTTGTTTTGGCTTTGCCCTGTTTACCATTTATGGTAAGCAGGTGAACGTTTCAGGTGGAAGTTGATTGATGCATATGGGAGTCCACGGGAATTTCATCAGGCTTAGGAAAAGTTGGAGTCGTTTTTGTGTCACAAATTATGAACAAGTTTTATTTAAAGTTTCATTAATAAGAATAAAGAATTTTCCGCTGCAAAAAGTATTTTTAAAGTATAAGCATTGCGTTATCACGCGGCGGTAATACGCCTAAGTCTATCTCTACGGTATTTATACGTATTTTGTACATATTCTGTAGAGGGAGATTTGGGGGTGTTACACTAAGGTCCTCGAGGCTACTGAGAGATTGGTGACTCCATATATTAATTCTGAGCTTAGGCGCCCGTTTTCAAAGGAGGAGATTTTCGCCACTCTTAATCAGATGCACCCTTGTAAGGCTCCGGGTCCTGATGGTGTGCATGCTATTTTTTTCCAAAAATTCTGGCATATTATTGGTGATGATGTTTCTAGACTTGTTAGTAGTATATTGCAAGGTAATGAGTCAATTGGTCCTGTTAATTATACTAACATTGTGCTTATCCCAAAAGTGAAATCTCCTACTCTGGTGTCAGAATTTAGGCCTATAGCTCTCTGTAATGTGTTGTATAAAATTGCTTCGAAGGCCATTGTGATGAGACATAAACATGTCCTCCCTGACATTGTTTCGGAGAATCAGAGTGCCTTTGTCCATGATCAGATTATTACTGACAATGCTCTCATAGCCCTGGAATAATTGTTTCATACAATGAAGACGAGATGCAGCAGTAAAAGAGGCACGGTGTCTATGAAGCTGGATATGAGTAAGGCCTACGACAGAGTTGAGTGGAATATTCTGGAGAAGCTGCTCTTGAAATTGGGTTTTGCGGACAGATGGGTGGCGACAATTATGGATTGTGTGACTTCGGTTACATACTCCTTTATTGTCAATGGGGATGTTTGTGGCTCAGTCTCTCCTACGAGGGGACTTAGGCAGGGAGACCCTCTTTCTCCATATTTGTTTATTCTTGTTGCTGATGCTTTTTCGGGGCTAATGCGGAATGCTTTAATTGATGTTTCTGTTCACGGCGCCAAAGCTAGCCGCAGAGGTCCGGAAATTTCTCACCTTCTTTTTGCAGACGATAGTCTTCTTTTCGCAAGAGCCAACCGAAGGGAGTGTTCTCATATTTTGAAATCCTCGACATATACGAACAAGCTTCCGGCCAGAAAATTAATTATGAAAAATCGGAGGTCTCTTTTAGCAAAAGGGTGAGTGCTTCGATGCAAGAGGAATTATTGGGGGTTTTGGCAATGCGTCAGGTTGATAAGCACGAGAAGTACTTGGGAGTTCCGACAATAATTGGTAGATCAAAAAAGAAAATTTTTGTAGCCCTCAAGGATAAAATATGGAAGAAATTGTCAGGGTGGAAAGAAACTTTTTTATCGAGAGCAGGGAAGGAAATTCTCCTCAATCTGTTATCCAAGCCATCCCGACTTACATTATGGGAGTCTATAAAATTCTGGAAGGGGTAATTGGGGAGATTCATGCTATGATGGCTCGCTTTTGGTGGGGAAATGATACTACCCGAAAGAGAATTCACTGGAAGAGTTGGAAGGATCTGTGTTCTCCTAAGTGCCTAGGGGGCTTGGGTTTTAGGGACTTACGAGTCTTTAATGATTCCCTCCTTGGTAGACAAGCATGGAGACTCACCATTAACCCAAATTCTCTACTCAACACGGTGTTGAGCGCGAAGTATTATGTGTTAGGTTTTCAGTAATTCAAAACAATAAGAATTACTAAAATTGTGGGAACAAAACCTAAACAATGTATAATTAATATCAAATTATACAACAATCCAAATACTAATCAAAGTATTACAATCCAAGCACCAAATATACTATGCAATTTAGAAATTACAAAAGAAAACACTAATGTGAAAAATTCTATACTTGCCTCAACTCCAAGCCTTCACCAAGAACATGAACATGAGAATGTTGATGACCACTTGAGTCTCAATCCTTGATACACTATCTTAGGCGTATAAACACTTTCCTAAAGAGGTTAATTTCCCCCACAACGGTGCTTGGGTTCAAAATCTGGAAATCCTCTTTGAGATATAAAAGACAGCAATTTCGTTCTTTGCACTAAGAATCGAAATAAAGATGACAAATTCACAAATTTGGTTAAATTATTAGAGTTTTTCTCAAAAAAGTTTGCAAGAAATTTGAGAGAAAATGTGGAGAAAATACTTTTTGGGAGATGAAGAATAATCTTTTGTAACTTTTTCTCACGAAACTTGTCTTTTAATAAAAGACACAACCGTCAAGAAAAAACTGCAAAACAGGGAGGCGCGGGCGCACCACCAGGTGGAGCGGGCGCTCCTACACTAGGAGCGGGCGCTCCTTACAATATCTGCAAGAATCCACAAAAAGGCAGTGGGGGCGCGGTTTAGGCGCGACCAGGAGCGCGGGCACGCCATCCTCACCCTTCCAATTTGACAACTTCCAGAGAGGTACGCGGTTTAGGCGCGCTCTCTGCGCGGCCGCGCCTAACTTGCGCGGGTGCTCCTTCATGGTGCGCGAGCGTGCAACCATCAACACTCTAAATATCTAACATTATGCGGGTAAGAGCTTCCTTGATGCAAATCTGGGGTATGGAGGTAGTTTCTCTTGTCGCAACATATGGTCTTCAAAAGCCCTATTCAAGGAGGGTTTGCTTTGGAGGATAGGGAATGGAGCAACGGTGGACATATGGCATGATCCCTGGGTTGACAACGGTGAGAGCAGGTTTATTACCACCCTTTGTTCGGATGCTGTGACTCGGGTAAGTGACCTAATAGACCATGACACTCGCCAATGGGATGTTCATCGTATCGAAAATATTTTCAATGCGGAAGACATTCGAAGCATACTAGCAATCCCCTTATGTCCGAATGTTGTTCAAGACTCCATAATGTGGGATTTCTCGAATGATGGTTGCTATATTGTGAAGTCAGCCTATATGCTAGGCAAATCTTGCAATCTTGATTTGTTTCACAAAGCATGGGTGGAGATTTGGAAGCTAGAGGTTACCACGAAAGTCCGTCACTTTCTGTGGCGAGTCTGTACGGGAACCCTCCCAGTGAGAGCCTACCTCATGTATAGGCACATGACGGATGTTGCAGACTGCCATGGTGTGTGGGCTACCCAGAAACTGTTCAGCATGCTTTGTTTGATTGTCACACGGTTCGTGATCTTTGGGTGGAATGCGATTGTGTGGAGATATCAATTTGGCCAACTGGTATGTCTTTTTTGGATTTAGTTGAATCATGGAGCAAGTTGGATGCAAAGAAGGTGAATAGTGGTGCGATTTTAATGTGGAATCTATGGAATCGGAGAAACGAGATGATCTTCAATGGCAAGGAAGTTTATCATCCCGTCTTTGTTGATCGTACTCTCCGTCTTGCGGCTGATTGCAACACTTACATGAAGAAGATATACGGAGGGGTCAAAAGGAATTCATGCCCCAGCCCCAAAGTATGGAAAGCTCCACCAAAAGGTACTGTCAAGCTCAATCGTGATGCTTCTTTGTGTGATGACGGATGGGTAGGAATGGGAGTGATTGCTAGAGACTGGAAGGGGGACGCCCTATTTGCTGCTGCCAAAAGAGTGAGAGCTCATTGGCCTCCAATTATTGCGGAAGGGAAAGCGATTGCCTTGGCTATGAAACTAGCAAAACACTACGGCTTGTCAGAAATTATAATTGAATCGGATAGCCAAGTTCTCATCAATCGCTTAAACAAAGCATCGATCTTCTTCACTGACCTTGATGCAATTCTGGATAAGATTATATCTTCTTGTTTTTCTTTTAACTCTGTTGTTTGGTGTCATGTTAAACAGGATGGTAATGTTGCGGCTCATAATTTAGCCCGTTTAACGCCTTTTGGGGTAGAATAGGTTTGGGAGAACCACGTCCCTTGTCAGGTATCTCCCTATGTTTTAATGGACAAATTATCAATATAAGACACCTACAACGTTTTCTAAAAAAAAAAAAAAATTGTTAACCAACCACCAGCCGTCGTCGCCGCTGCCGCTGCCGCCGGATATTCAAACTTTTTCAGTAATCAAACTCAGTCATTCGCTAGGTATATAATCGTTGTTTAATACTCTTTCATTTCTAGACTCTTTTGAATTCAAATTCAATTTCTTTTAGTATTATCAATCAGTCATTATGATTTATTATGTGCTGAATTTACAATATTCTACTCAATTATATTTGCTCAATTTTTTTTAATTTCATTGGGTGTTTAAAGATGTAGTTCGTTGAATGTTTTTTTTAATCAATTTGCTGGTTTAATAAGAGGTGCTAATTTCTACTGTTGTTTTAAAATAGGAAGCTTCGAATGAAATTTGAAGTACCAAAATTATGATTTTAACTACTCCGCAATTTTGAAGGCAATGCTGTTGTCTTTGATATTTGATATACTGTATATTTGTTGTTATTGGATGATAATTTTATAATTAGTGAAGTTTATAATATTTCATTCTACCACTAACAACTTCTTCAAGCTTTCAATCCCAGATTTTTCCTATGTCAAAAAATGATAATTTTTTGGATTTCTTGAGAGCTTCAGATTTTTTCTACCTGTGACACTATGAAAGGTTCTACAATCTACAGTAATAATTTCAATTTCTCATTTCCGATGATTGGGTGAAAAGGGGCAGTTAGTTTCAAAGACATAACTAGGCTTATTTATTTAGAATTTTGAAGTTTTTCTTTAGATTTTGTTAGAAGGTCCCGTGCATCATCAAGGCTTAAAACTAGTTACAATTAGAAAAGGGTTTATATATTAGTCTTATTGTAGTTTAATAAATAAGTTTGGTTTGTTGTTATCGTGAATCTATTTACTGTCAATGTTAATTTGACTTAAGACTCTAACAAACATTGATATGGCATTTTGGTACTTCATTTCAGACCAAAATAATGCAATATCTTATAAAGTGGTACACTTTGACTATTTTACAATCAGAGGTGGACCCACATGTAGTCATTGTGGGTCCCAAGACAACCTTTTTTTTTTAATAAAAAATAAATAAAAAAAATAAAAAATTTAGATCTATTTTCACGGTACTCCTAAGAGCACCCATAATGGTGGGCATTATTATTGCTCATGGGCATTTTGTTGGGCAAACATGTGAAAAATTGGGTTACAATGGTGGGCTAAGTATTAGTTGCCTATGGGCATGTGTTAAAATGCCCAAGACTTGGGCAGAAATTCAAGTGAACAGTGGACTGACGTGCGTCAGTCAATGGACGAATGCTAGAGCGCTACGTGGCAAGTGCAGGAAGCTGACCAATAGGAAAATTCTAGCTATTGCCAACGGTAATATTGTTTGTAATTTAATTTCTAAAATATATATTTATTAAAAAAAAAAATTACCAACGGTCATAAAATTTAATTCTCTATAAATAGACATGCATTTTGCTATATTTTGGTATAATTTCAGAAATACCATGTATCTCTGAAAAGTGATTTAGTCGAACATATTTGGTTAAAGTATGGGCCAACTAATTAGGAAAAAATTAGCACGACTTAAAAAAGGCCAACTAAGGCCTTGTTTGGTTCACCTTATTTTTACTGATCTGATCTGATCTGGTCTGATCTGATCTGATATGACCAAATTTTGACCTTAAGTATACGATAATCTATAAGGAAAAAATATATCAAGTGAGATCTTGTTAGATTCGTAATAATGTGTAGTTTATTAATATGTAATTTTCACAATTTTTTTCATTACGAAATTAAGAATATTTAGTGATAATAAACCGCACATAAAACAATGTTCTGATCTGAACTTATTTTTTTTTATCTAATCTGATCTGAACTTATTTTTTCTGAAATAAATAAAAATAAGTTGAACTAAACAAGACCTAATATGGCCTAACTACTTTTCCGCACGCTGTGGTGTTTTTTTATTTATTTTTTTATTGTTTTGTTTATTTTATTCATCAAGTTTAATTATGCATGACGTTTCCAATGTAATCGATTTTTAGTACTGTACTGTTTTTTAAAATAAATAAAAACATTTACGAAATTTGTTAGCGTTTTGTTAAAATTATTTCATCTAATCTACATAATCTAACAACATATTTTACCGATAAAAATGACACAAATAAAAAAATTAAGTTAAACAAATTTAGACTAGTTTTATTTTATTTGGAGTAATATTGTTTAAATATAAATGAAATTAATAAATAAAGAAGTGTTGTGTAGGAGAGAGAAAGTAATGGTGGGATATTGAAAAAGTAAGGGAGAGAGAGAGTGGTGGGCAAGCATTATTTTTGTTCACTGTTGGGAGAGAAATTATGAAAAAAAGTTGCTCATGAGCAAAACTGATTTGTTGAGAAAGAAAGTGGGTAAAGAGAAATTGGCAAGCATTATTTTTGTCCACAATTGAAAGTGGTCTAAAGTCCTTGACTCCTTCCCCACTCTCTCTCCTCCCAGAAAACACAGTACACGAACTGACGAACACGGCTTCATCTCTCTCTCCTCCATTGAAGGGGCTTTCTCTCCTCCACTGAAGCAGTCTCAAAGGTTAGATGCTTCTTTTTCTTTAATCATTGACCTAATTTAATTAATTTATTGTCACTATATACTCAATTTAGGGTTCTTCGAAGTTGGATAATTGAACTATTGGTTATAATTACTCGAAGAATTAAACATGATTTTTGGAGTCTAGTTTGATAATTGAGTCAATTTTGGTTGCTAATGTGTTGCAGGGTTTGGTTTGTGGAGCGTACACGAAATTCTCCATTGAAGCGGCTTCTGACTTTCTGAGCTTTCTCTCCTCCATTGAAGCAGTCTCTAAGGTTAGATTTTGACAATCTAGCGAATCGTGTATTTAATTGTCAGACTGTTAGTATATACTCAATTTAGGGTGGTTTCGGTGGTGGTGCTGGGGAGGGTGTTCTTGTTTGTTGAATGAAATTTCCACACCCCTTTTTCAATCCTTCCCAGCGACAAATCTTATTTAAAAGACGGAAAAAGACTTCAAAAATTGAAAGAAAAGGGAATTTTTTTATAAAAAAGAAAAGAATAAATGGAGAGGCTTCTAAGGATTTTGGGTTGAGTTGAGTGCCAATTCTCCTCCACCTCTGATTCAGGGAGATTGTTACAGTTTATTAAGGCTACTTACATAAGTTAATTCCAGTAGTTGTTATACTATGAATCTTTGTATGCATCATGGTCGTGTCAATACATGATACTAGGCACAAGGGTGTTTGATGATCAAACTCGAGCTCCTCTGGAAAGTTTCTCTTACCAAGGATGATTCTAAATGTTGTCTTCTATATGTACAAATAATACATATCCAACCTTCTCTTGCTGAATCTTTGTATCTAGAAGCAAGCTTTTGGTCTGGTTCCTAACTGTGATGAATGCTTTTTGTTCATCACAGGGATTTTCAGGGGGTCATTTATTCATGTAGTTTCTTGTATTGAAGTTCCCTCTTTAGGTTTGTTAGAGGAGTTTCATAAGATCATTGTTCACACTTCTGATGGAAAACACAAGGTGTAGATTTGAGTAAGGAAATTTGCAGCGAAATATGGAAATTTAATGTGAGCTTGCTGAAGCCGTTGGTGAAAGAGAAACTGGCATAATCTTCACTTTGGAGGCCCTTTCTGGCCTCTACATGTCCAATATTGCTTTGGATGTTTAGAATGTCTTGTGGAAATGGAAAGTGAAGCTGAAAGGGTGCAAGTTATACAAATTAATTTATGAAATGAACTTTTTTATGTATTTTTTTTTCATTATACAAGCTTTGACTATTTTTTGATATTTTATGCGGTCGATGGACGATGATTGGACAACCTATTAATCAAATCCCGGATCCGCCACTGTTTAAAATTACGGCATACCTTGTGGGCTGTTGTGGCCAAGTCTGACATGATACTTTAATTGAGTCTGAGTAACATAAATAACAATTAGCTTCGGTTTCTTATATTCTATTCCTTTTTTAATTTTATTTAATTTTATTTTTTATTATGCTTCATGGTGGGTTATGAGTGCAAAGAAGGATTGTTTGGCCTAGAGAATCCTGGTGTGTTAGGATATTGTGGAGCAAAAAACTACAATGACATTGTGAAAATGTGAAATCTAACTTGTCTGATCCCTTCAAAGGTTTGCAATTATATAAACTTCAAACACTCTAAATTGAGGCAAAGAGCGGAGTTATGAGTGTGAAGTGTTCCTTCTTCATGTTATGGCTTGAATGTCCTTATTGTTTATAAAGAATCTCGGTGTTTTTATCTGTTATATTGCTGAATTATTTTAATTTTTCAAGGTGAACTCCTCCCAATACTACTTTAAAATAGTAACACACTCCCAAAAAGAAATGTGTCATATAAATTGGAATCGGGGAGGGGGGGATAACAGAGAACGCGAAGGAGGAGAATATGGGGTGAGGGTGGCTATGAGGGAGGAGAGAGAAAATGGGATGTCATAGTTGTAAAATAGGAGAGAGAAGGGGTTAGGTTAGAGAGAGGAGAGAGAGAGGGGGTTGCTATGGCCTGGGATGGGGGAGGATTCAGGGTAAATCTGAATTTTTACCACAAAACACGTTCCTAAAAAGGAAACGAGTCAACTGAAAAGAAACTTCCCAAAAAAGAATATGTGTCAACTAATTTAGAATGGAGGAAGTAACTTCTATTTGATGTATAGTGAGACTCGGGACTTTGGGTTACTTTCATGCTCTTTGTAAATAGTTCATAATAAGTACTTAGTAGAAGGTCCTCTTTGCTAAGATTCCTCTGTTTTCCTATCTCTTCAGGGATCTGCATTTTGACAATAGGCAATATCTTTGTTTGATTCCTATTCCTAGTTGACATTCATGCTCTCCATATGTTGGTCCACAACAAAAACTTCAAAGAAACTCTTCTGCCATGCTAAGGAAATTGTCCTTTTCTCTCTTGACAAGGATCCACTATCATATTGTTGCATCCGAAAGTTGAGTTATGTAAATGTGTATATGAAATGGAAAAAGAATCGCAGCTATGACTCAATTGAAACAATTTACAGAAGCCCAGAATTGAAGCCATTGATATCTCTTAAAAATAGCATTGCCCAAGCTCCTAGTGGCTGCATTCCAATCTCAGATGTATCTAAAAGGGGTTTAGTATTGGATGTGCCCATCAAAGTTGCGAAGTTTTTGAGGCGGTATCCATCTGTGTTTGAAGAGTTCGTGGGGCCTCAATACAATTTGCCATGGTTTAGATTGACCCCAAAAGCAATGGAGATTGACGTGGAAGAGAAGGCGATTTATGAAGATTATAAATCGGATTTGCAACTTAGGCTGAAGAAGTTGATACTAATGACTAGAGAGCAGAGGTTGCCATTGAGGATAATTCAAGGAGTTCAGTGGTATTTAGGTCTGCCTGATAATTTTCTGAAAAATCCTGATATAAATCTTGATAGTTCTTTTAGGTTTGTGGAAATGGAAAATGGGGATAGAGGATTAGCTGTAGAGGGTGAAGAAAAGATGATGTCCATTTTGCAGAAAAATGCTGTACAGAGAGGGCTGAGCAACGGGGGATGGATGGAACCCATACCATTCCCGCTTTTTCCCTCTAGAGGTTTGAGATTGAAGAGAAAGATTTCGGCTTGGTTAGATGAGTTTCAGAAGCTACCTTATGTGTCTCCATACGAGGACTTTTCACATTTGAGTCCAGATAGTGATATAGCAGAAAAGAGAGTTGTAGGTGTTTTGCATGAATTACTCTGCCTCTTTGTAGAAAATGCTGCTCCAAGGAAAAAACTTCTGTGTCTTAAAAAGTTTCTGAGCTTGCCACAAAAGTTTCACAAGGCATTTGAGCGACACCCACATATGTTTTACCTTTCCATGAAGGCCCATACCTGCACAGCAATCCTGAAAGAGGCTTATGAAGATGAGGCTGCTATAGAGAGGCATCCCTTGTTTACCGTGAGAAAGAGATACATAGAGCTGATGGATGATTCTGATAGGATCCTAAAACAACGGAGGTCAAATACTCACTTTTGCCTATTGAGAAGTTGCTGATTCAGAGTCTGCCTCAGATTTAAATTCAGAATGCAATGTTGAAGATTGTATAGTAGTGGAGAAGAGCTCCTTTTAAGTACATGTTAGCAACAACTTGCAGCAAGATAGAGGTCTGTATATCTTTCAAACATTGGCTGATGTTACAAAATATTGGAATTGTTTTATAATATTAAAATGTTGTATAAATTCATACAGAGATTAAGAATGAAATCTATCCCTGAGCCCATTCTGCTTTTCCCTACATTCTCCAGTCCCAAGTAAGAGCTTCATGATACTGTCATATGGCTTATGTTATGTTCTTTTTCTACCTCTTGCTCCTTACTTTTGATGAATTAAACCATGGAGGTTTTTGACTGTCAAGCTTTTATTCACTGAGATCATCTGCATCCACCTCAAGTACTTGTTCTTTATTTAATCTCTTATTCGTGCAGTTTGTTTGAGTAATTTTTATTCTTATTCTTGTTTGAGTGGTACCTTTTTTTTTTTTTTTTTTTTTTTTTTTTGACAATAAATGAAAATTTTAATTAGCAAGGTTAAATTTTACAAACAAATCCAATACTAGAAAGATGATTAAAAACACCTATAGGATCCATCTTCCTACCTTCTAGAAAAGGTGAAAGAAAGAAAATCTTCATATGCCAGTGTCTTTCAGAGACTTCAGAAACCAAAGTAATTTACTTCTCTAACAGAAATTCATTCATTCGATCAATTCATTTGCCATTAAAATTTTAATTATTCCTCACATGAATTGCGTTGTTCTGGCTAACACTGAGGGGTTAAGAACCGCTGATGCTTCAGTATGTTCATCACCGCTGAATACTAACTTGTGCAACTTTGGCCTCCACACAAGACCCTATTTATAGGAAATGTACAGGGGCCAAAGAGGCCTTATTTGAGTGGCTCTGATATTTATAAGCAGCTAAGCACTTGTGCACCAAGTGCTTGTGCCTACTCCTCAACTTTCTTTCTGGAAAAGGAAGAAAGTGCTTGACAACATTTTATGTAGGTGCTTGTAAACTGCTCACAAACTTCGAGGAATTAAATCTCTGTGCTAATTTGGAGAATATACTGCTCTTGTTTCAGGTTTGAGTTTTGATTTGTATGTTCTGCTCCTTTTTGAGTTCAACTGCTAGATGAAGTTGTAATGTTAACCCACATTACTGACACTATGTTTCTAATTGCAAGGGGTTTTCTAGGTTTCAGGAGGACTATAGGAGTGTCCTTGGGATGTTGTTTGACGAGACTTCTTCCTACTGAAAGGCGCTTTTGATCAGTGTGTTGCTGGTGTGAAATAGTCTTGATGATTGTTGGGTGTGCATTAGATGGACTTTCAGGTCAATGCTGGTGATTGATCTGGTAACATAATATCAGATAATAGGTCAGTGTACAGGAAGCTAAGTGTCGTACTTGTGGAAATCATCAAATTACTCTGTTGTGCAATCTTGGTACTTCGATTAGCTGCGCATTCCAGCATCCATCAGGGTGAGGTTGTGACATAATATCTGCATATGATCTATGTTCTACGACTTTTATGCAGACTAGAATTTTGTGCTGCCTTTTCCTGTATACAAATACCATTTTAGTTGAGGAGTGAGAAGTGCAGGGATGGTTATTCCTCCATCTCCCCCAGGAGTGACCTAGGTTTGACTCCTCATCCCCCCTCCTGTGATAGGGGGATCCCCCCGTATCTTTCCGTAAAAAAAAGTTAAAATTTTAGTTTGAATTCCTACCATTTTTTTAAATTCTAATTAGTCCGCTGAATGTTTGTTAATTATCCATAGTTATCTTGTATAATGTTGCTTGGGTTGTCCGTCGACAGCTCCTGATCATTATCTTGTATAGTGATGGTTTGAGGGGGAGGCAGTCAAGTTCAGAGTATTTGGAATGACCACCGGCCTGAGAAGCTGCATTCAGTATCAGGATTCAGGACTATATTGATGAAGCAGAAGCTGAATTTTCAGCAACGAATAACTTGCTGCTGACCAAAAGACCTGGCTTCCAGAATAACTTTGTTGGCTGTGCCATTATTGTGAGACCGTCTTCAGATGGCCTCACCAAAACCCAAGTAATTTAGTCATTGATGTCCCTTATGCTTGAAGAGGGGAAGTTTCATGGTTTGCTTGTTGCTTTAAATGACGAACCAGTTACTAGTCTTCTAGTGGGAGCATATACATGCTCTTAGGCCTCAGCTTTATTCTATATTGAACTTCGGATTTATGCTGTATATTGGGGTTATGTAGGGCCGTTTTGGGATTGTTGTAACATTACGGAGGCAATTATAGAAACATAAACACTCAATATTGGTCATGAGTTTTGGGAGATAAGGAGGCGGACTAGGCAGTGTTGTATGTAATTAGTGTTTTATCTCACTTGAATGACTTGATCAATGTTTAGGATTGAGAAATGCAATCCATTACTCTATCTCCAAGAAGAATGGGCTTGAACCAGAGTATTAGTTAAGTCTATGTTCTGCAAATTTTAATCCTAGTATTCAACCAATAATGCTAAACTAAAGATTGATGTAATGCTTTTCTTTGGTTAAGTAATTCGAGGATATCATTCGACTTAACGCTATGCACGATTACATGTGATATTTGCCTAGAGAATTCATAATCTCTAAAATTTAGACAGACTTGTATTTGTTATCAAATTTTAACTATGAAAAATCTGAAGTAATTTAACAAACTAAATTCAATAAAAGGGACCACTTCAATTGTATTGCAAATCATGATATCTACTGCAATGTACTCGTTACCTACGGAGTAGTTTTTTTTGTGTAAGTTTAGACATTTGCCTTGCATTACGACACATGCTTGTCATAAGCTATATTTTATTCACTCCCAATCTAACTTTATACGGGGTAAAAGAAATAAATCCACATTATAAATAAACTTATTATAAAATTATAATCTTAAATAGTCCGTCTTGGGTGCGACTGACAACACCGTGTAACTAATAATAAAAAAACAAAGTAACTTTATAACTAGACCGACTAACCTCTGTTACACTGATCAAGCAACTCCTATAACACTAACAAAGTGACCCGTATAATAGTTGGCCCCACGATGTGACTTGCCACGTAACAAGAATATGTGAATCTCAAAATTGATCCCTCTCAATATGAAAGGATAATTTTGATGGGATTAGACGTGTTTGCCCTGTTTGGTGTACAATTGTCCATTGTAAATTTTTCTTTTTGTTGAAAGACTGTACCATTGTACATTTTTTTTTTGTTGAAAGACTGTACATTGTACATTATTCTTGTAAAATACTTCGTATTTCATAAGCCACGAAAGAAAATAAATAAATAAATAGATAATAGAAAAACTTATAAGGAAGTAAAAGGTTTTGCCTAAGATAAATTGTCTAGGTTCATGTGCTTTAGAGGCTTAGAGCCAAACTTTGTCCGCATTGAGCATCGAGTTGACAATGAGCTTTTGTGATTTGATTTTTTATCTTGAAAAAACTAAAATAAAAATCAGTCAAGTGCAACTTGGGTTGCGTGACTTGCGTCTAATTGTAAATGCAAAGCGTCATATTCGAATGCTAAAAATGGAACACTTACATGTGGGCAATATCTATATATTCCTATTACAACAATTGGTATTTGCATATCATGCTAGTTAGTGGTTAGTATCTTACTTTTTTTTTTTTTTTAACTAATAACACTTCTATAAACAAATGATGATAAAGTTTCTTTAATCAAATGTTTAAAAAAAAAAAAAAAAAAGGTTGATCAAAGAATGTAAAGTTTAATGCATGATCTTAGGGAGTGACTTTCCTACTAGGAAGGATCTTTGTATGAATAGTATCCCATGTTTAGAGTCTCAAAATGAAAATTCGTAATCGTAAAAGTATGGTGATTTTTATTTTTAAATTAAAATTTCCCTTTTTTTTTTTTTTTTTTTTCTTTTTTAACAAAAGAATTGCGTTATTGTTTGGACTCTCCATTTATTTCTAACTTGTTGGAAAATAATGTAGCTTTAAGGGGTATTAAGCAAATTTGTGTTATGGCCGGTTGTTATGCATTTGAAGTAGTTAAAATATTACTTCATATTTTGTAAAGATGTGATGCATTCTTTTTATCATATATCAATTACGAAGTATTACAAATTTGTGCTCATAATAGGGGAGGACTGAACTCGAATAACTCTTTTGATCCCGAACTTATCAACACTTTAGCCATTATCAACTTTAAATTTACTTATCAGAACTTATTATTTATGTATATAACTTATACTTCTTATGAACAATCTTAACATGTTTGAAGCTATTTTTCTTAAACTAAATGAAAATATAAGGAGACTCTAAGATAGCCTAAATAGCAACACGTATTTGTTGAGAGAAAGTGAATATAGTAGAGTGAAAATAATACAATTAGGGTTATTTAATTTAATGTTGTTTAGGAGTTCTTTTTGGATATTAATTTGAAGCAAAGATACTTCGTGAATACCTTAAAGATATAAAAATATGCTTTGTTAGTTTTATTTAAAAAAAAAATCAGTGAAACTTTTTTAAATTGGAAGCTCACCATATATTACACCCATAAACCTACAAATACATTGATCATATTCTGTCACTTAGCTTGCTTTATGCAATCATGGTGAAACTTCCCTCCACCTTCTTAAAAGAGTTGAAAACTACCAATTGACCATAATAATATGAGAAACCACTGTTTTTATGGCTTAATTTAAAGGAACCTCATTTGGCAAAGAAATTAATATTTGTAAAATAAAGTAAATCACATTATTATTATTATTATTATTTTTTGTAAAGAATCTCATTAAATTAGAGTTGATTCAAATAGAACTTTACATGAAACATAGTGAATGCATTTTACAAGAAAGCTACCCCTAAGGCTAAAAGCCTATAAATGTAGATAACTTTATTATATGCTTAAAAAATTATCACACAAACATAAGCAAATTAATAAAGTTCACAAATCACAATCCCTTAAAAAAGAGAAAAATAATAAAGTTAATATATAATGGGATCAAACCAAACAAAAAAAGCCAACCAGTAAATGAAAGGTTGATCAAAAAACCAAAATTAAATTGAGAAAAAAATATTTTAAAATGGAGGTCAATATCAAAGTAACAACTCTCAAGGAAATAGAAGTATATAACTGTAAATATAATTGAAAATGTATAAATAAATATAACATCATTTTCTTAATGCCAAAGTCAGAAGTAACACCTTTACAGGCTAATGTTGCAAATGTTACCTAATCCGTGGTAATGTCTTCAATCCTTTAGTTGCTTTCTATGCATAAATGAATTTACAAACTGGTACCAATAGGCCTGCAAAACTATATGACACGTGTCATTTTGCTAATGGACCTATTACCTTCACCCCATAAAAAACAAACTTAAAGACATGTTGCTATCACTAAACACTATAAACACTCTTCTTCTCTTTTAATTAATTAAATTAGTTACAATTGGTTGTCCCAATCGATTATGACATTTTGAGCACTTTACTTTGTGTTTGAAGTATCAAGTGAGTATATGATGTATGTCATTTATGTACAAGGCTATATGGTATATTGGAATGAGCTAAGGGATGAAATTTGATAAAAGATACTTCGTATGACACATAGAATATGTGAATCAAATTTAAAGAGTCAATGAGTGTTTTGTAGTAGTAGTATTTGGACCTTGGACCATAGAGTTTAAATTTAGTACCAACTTTAATTTACTTATGTATACATGTGATTATCTAACAAGTATTATGTAATTTGTAAGGGTCCGTTTTCTTCACCTGAATTAAAAATCATTTAACCTAATTAAAATTCATTGACATCGATTGCAAGAAAGTAAACTACGTACTTACGAGTGTAAATTCATTGTCCATGATCGAACTTATTGGAAATGCATGATTGGACCTTAAATCATCTGAATAATTGGACTTCAAATCTTATTTAGTGAAGATCATAGCAGAACACACCTCTAATCTACTTTGCTCTTTACTTTGTGTTTGATGCATCTAGCTAGTGCGTAAATGATGTATGTCACATTAATTTATGTACAAGGCTACATCTTGAATGAGCTAAGGGATGAACTTTGAGAAAAGATGTGATGCATAGAGATGTAATAAATCAAATATGAAGAATCAATAAGTGTTAGTATGTAGTCTAGTAATTGGATTAAAGAGTTTCGTACCAACTTATTTTTTTTTTTTTTTTTTTTTTTTTGACAAAACTTTATATCTTATTATTACCTAAGTATACATATGATTATCAAAACAAGAAAGTTATAAAGGTGCATTATCTTAACTTGTAAATTAAAGTTGTAATCTATTTGAAGCGACCTTAATTGAGCTTATATACCCATGATTAAATCTTATTGGAGTTATTAGAATTAATTAATTATTAAATTAAAGAGTAAACTTATTGGATCGGACAATATTAAAACTTACTAGAATAAACATGATTAAAACTTATACGAACTCATTAAAACTTAATTAACCTTTTTTATTTTAAGGAAAGAGAACCCGTTTTTAATCAACTTTACACCTTACTTCAGTTCATGCGTTATCACATGTACGTACAAGACACATGCTAGAAAGTAATATAAACACTTTGTGTACCTCACATGTCAGAAATAACACATAGATTCATATAAAAGCATGCATACAAGCCTGAGCTACCAGGGCATAAACTCTTATCGACAACCTAGGTCATTACATATGGTAGGACTGTAGGAGCAACATAATTATATTGAACAATTAATG